AAAGGGGGGGGTCTTCCTTGCAAGGAAGGCTTTCCCACCCAGGCATGCATAGACGTGTGCAGGGAATAAATATAGCAATGTACTAAAATGCATCTGTTTCTAGGTATAGAATATACGAGCTCATTTCATTAGATAGGCAGATCGGATGATGATCCTAATCTGACACTGACAACTGAATTTTATTTCTTCGGATAGGATGGAAAAGGCCTTAGCTCCAGTGGGGTGTATGTGTATGCAAAATGAGTTTGTGGGCATGTGCAGGGTGTGCTAATATATAATATGCTTGCTGCCCATTTAATAATTTGCATCTCTGACACAATTTTGAATTTTTTTTTATCCATACAATGTAATTTCACTGCTGTTAAATACCACCTCCAAATTATTTTATAGTAGTTTTCCTTCACATTTAACAGTGCTTAGGGACGGTTGGAAAGACTTGTGGGTAGCTAACAGTGGAAGAAAGCAAAGAGATCCTTGCCAGATCGTGGGCTGTACTGAGTCAAACGGATGGTCTGATTCAGTAGAAGGCAGCTTAATGTGTTCCGTAATTTATATTGTTAGGGTTTCTAGGCCATGAAATATGTTAATGACTCTCACAAATATATATCCTCTTGTTTTAAGCCAATATGTCAAAACACTTTGAGGTAAATTAAAAAGAAGCAGATGCGTGGACACTGTGTAGTAATATCACTATAGCATGATCTCATAATAACAACAGTAGCAGCTAATAGAGAAGGGGGGAAAGCCTAAACGATTATATCAGTACATGCAGAGAAGAATTACTCAAGGCAGTAAAAGTAGAGAATATTTTGAAAACAATAGAAACAAAGGTTCAATGTAAGAAACAACAATTTGAAAATAAATTAAACAGCTGGAAAAATAAATCACTACATGGAAAACACCTGATAAATACTGCTGGAAAGCATGATCATAATTCAACACGGACATGGCTAAAACTGGGAACCCTTAAGAAAGAAACCAAAGGTTTGATTTTTGGTGCATGGGAACGAGCACTCCAAACCAACACAATGAAAGCTAAGACCCAAGGAATTAGTGCTAACAGTAAATGCAAACTCTGCCAAGAAAAAGATGAAACTGTATCACACCTCATTTGTGAATGTCCAAAGATTGCACAGATTCAAAATTATATATGATAAAAGAGGCAAAATTAGTGCACTGATTATTATGCAAAAAATATAATTTGCCCAGCCTCTAAAACCCTGTGGGAACATCAAGTAGAGAAGGTGTCAGAAAATGAGGAAGTCAATATCTTGTGGGATTTCCGGATTGAAACGGATAGACACCTTGAACATAACACACCAGACATAGTAATAGAACGAAGAAATGTCTGGATCATTGACATTGCAATTCCAGGGGATGCCAGCTTTGAAAATAAAGAATTGGAAAAGCTAACAAAATACAGAGATCTGGCAATCGAAACGCATTGCTTGTGTATGAAACACAATTCAGTGGTCCCCGTAGTCATTGGGGCTTTGGGAACGATATCAAGAAATTTCACACAGTATTATAAGTACTGTAGTTGCAGATCTCAGAATTAACACCACCAGAATTACAAAAACCAGCAGTATTAGGAACAGCACACATACTGCGCTGATATTTATCATCTGTTTTAGGTTTTTGGTTAAAATTTGTATCTGTTATATAATCTAAGTTTTTACAATTTTGATTGGCTGTGCCTATTGTTTTTGAATAGTAATAGCAGCTACAGGAACAACAGCAATGGCAATAATGTGTCAGTAAGTGAATTCTGATTTACAGCGATGCTTTCCAAGTTTTTTAAGCATAGAGACTACAGCCTCGGAGAACTGACATCAACTCTTACAGACACGTACCATCAATTTTTGGGCTCTTGTGTACAATTTTTTTCTGCACTATGAGTTGTGCTAAGCCTGAAGAAGTGGAATTTTCTCCATGAAAGCTTGCAATTTGTTTGATTCTTTAGTGATTCCAGTAAAATATATCACCTACTCCTGTACTATGTATAGAATACTCAGAAGTGGTTTACCAGTCTCTTCTTCAGAGGGCACTTAGGAACTGTGAAGCTTGCCAACCCTACATTGGCTGGATGTTAGTTTAGGTCAGGGGTGAGCAATAAATTTCTATAGGGGTCCACATGAAAAATCTGAACTGTGTTCGGGGGCCGAAACAACTTTACTCAAAAATAAAATGAAACAGTGATGTTATGATTGTTTTTATTTTAAACTTGTTAATATTCACAATTTACTTAAAAATAAAATGAAACGGTGATGTTATGATTGTTTTTATTTTAAACTTGTTAATATTCACAAATACTAAAGAGGTTTTTTGCTGTATGTTAAAGATAAGCAACTGATTGACTTTAAACAAAAAGCTATACATGGTTTTGATGTTCAACTTGTTCAGTGAGAGAAATCCAGTCTGTCTTGGGCTTGAACAAGTGCTTGACCACTGTACTGGAGCAACGACCGGCGGGCCGGACAGGAGCAGCTCACGGGCCGTATGTGGCCCTCGGGCCGCACTTTGGCCAGGTCTGGTTTAGGTGTACAGTGAGGGTCAAAACTGCCCACCTCTAGTTCTCTAGCTAGGTACTCAATATACTGAGCAGAGTTAGCAAGATATTTGTGTTATTTATTAATATATTAAGTACAAATATGGATTTCATTATTTTATAAAAGACTTATAACTCATCTGAGAGATTATACTGAAACTGCCACACCAAACTGTTTCTCATTGTTAGTGAAAGTTCTTGTGTGAGAAAGGGAAACTGTGATGTTTTAGGCCTAGTTCTGAGAACTCTTCATTACCTGAAAAAGCACTGTCTCGCTATATCAAATCAGAAACCAATTGGGTGAAATCCTAAATACATTGTATATTTAATATATTTACTTTGAAAGGTGGTGAGTGCTCCATCACTGGAGGCATCCAAGAGAAATTTAGACAGCCACATGGTAGATACCCTTTGATTTGTATTCCTGCATTGATCAGGGGGTGGGACTCGATGGGCTTATAGGCCCCTTCCAGCTTCATGATGATATCCCCTAAAAAGGGAGGTAACTTTTGGGCCTCCTGATGATGTTGTGTTGTAAGTCATATAATCTTCAGTATTGATTTGCTAGCTGTGGGACATTACAGCTGCCTCTCTCTCTCTCACTCTCACTCACACACACACACTTATAAATGTACACACATACACAGTTTGTTAGTTTTTTGCTGGTGCCTACGCTTTCCCCTGTAATGCTGTCTCTCTCTGTGTAGACGTTTTTCTGCTGTTGCTGCAGTTATTACTATTATTAATGGTAGATTTTTTTTAAAAGCCGAGTGAGCCTCAGCTTCACTATAATCGAAAGTGGTAGAACTCACATACAGTATTTGCTTCTCTTCTAGCAAGAAGGCAAGATAAACATATTTTGAAAGAAATTGTAGGCTCGTTGGAGCAAAAGCTGTGGATATGGTGTGTGGAGGCAGATAAAAGGTCTTTTGTGAGCACAAATGTTGACTTGGCTTTTGAGGGTTGGATTGTTTTCATTTTGTTTCCTCATCTGCCTCCCTCCTGTTTACATGCACATGCCTTGTTTTGGAATTATAATGTAAGTTGAAAGTTACTGTATTTTAAAAGACCTCTGAGGTGCATGATTATTTTCATTAGTAGGAGCAGTAGAACCACACATAAAAAATCCAGAGTCATTTAAAAAATGGGTTTTGCCATTTTGAAAGAAAGATCACAAGGTCTATAAACTTAGCTTTTCTGTACTTGTTAGTCCAGTGTTTCCCAGCCTGGGGGTTGTGATCTGATCTGTATTTGAAAATTTGACATTGATGTGCATATTGTGTGTATTTTGTTCCTTAAGATGGTTAAGAGCCTTGTAGCATCTTGTTTGGTTTATAGCAGAACCAGAAATAATTGCTGCATGAAGAATTGATCATGTTGATTAAATAGATCTTAATCTGTACTTGTGCACATGTGAAAACAATTCCTTTAACAAAAAAAGTATTATTTTCTTTGTTTTAGGGACACAAACCATAGCAAAAAGCAAAGACAGTGAGGTTGGTATGTAAGAAAAATGCTGAAAGAACAGGAAGAGTGGGCTGAGCTGTCAATCTAGAATCAGGATTTCAAGCTAGTTTGTCCATGTTTGCAGAGTCCAAAGTTCTTTCGATAGCTGCTATGGCATGTCATTGTGCCCTTTACGGACACACATATGTTTGCCTAGAACAGTTCTGGGCACTTTACTTAACTTCTGAACTCTTGCGTGCCAGATGTGGGATGGGAAACACCTGTTGTGAGAATGCCAGAAATGTCTGCCAGTGAAAATGAATTGGAGTGAATTAGGCTTCAGGTTGTTTGGAAAGCCATGCAACTGACCTTCATGATATTGACAAGATGAGGAAATCCTTGCCAGCTTTACTGAATTTTATTTGCCTGGGTGGTATAAAACCCAGTGGGTTGTGTGTCTGTTCTGTCAACACAGCATCAACCTCCCTGTAATTGTCCTGTTGCATGTTTGCTTGCTTGCTTGCTTGCTTGCTTGATTGATTGATTGATTGATTGATATACATGGAGTATTTCTACCCTTCTTTTCAACCTGTGTAAAATTACCAGCTTGTTTACCAACAAACAATGGGTATCCATGCGTTAACTACTCCCTCCCACCCAGGATGTCTGCGTTTAGAGATGCTTCTTTTTGCCATACTGAGTGATGTACAGTAGTCAATATTGTCTGAAATTTACTTATCTTCATTGCACGTGTAGATCTCTGGAAAATGGAAGGAAAAAGATTACATTTGCAGCTCCTTACTGATATTAGTCGGTATTGCCGATGAAACCCTTCTCACATAATCCTCTTTTCAATAATGAGGTTAAACTTCTGG